ATTAGGCCTGATACTAGTTAGGACACCAAAAATATAGAACCAAAGAAATGGGCTAGACCCAGTTGTGGCAATTTAATTAAAAAAGAAAACATTTCATACTTGTCAGTCTCAGGCAACTGCAAGACCCCTTTCTTTCATTCAAATTCACCACAGTATTATCAGTGGTGGGATTCAAATTTTTTTACTACCGGTTCTGTGGGCGTGGCTTGGTGGGCATGGCAGGGGAAGGATACTATAAAATCTCCAGTCAGGAGATTTTCCACTAGGAGATTTTCAAAATTTCCACTACCGGTTCTCCAGAACCAGTCAGAACCTGCTGAATACCACCTCTGGGAATTATATTAAACTAAGAAACACAGTAAAAGTCACCTCAATCATTGCTTACTTATGGACCAGATAAACATTTAGCTCTTTTTAAAGGCTATTTATTTTCTTTAGAGTAGTAGTGTTAAATATAAAGCAAGAGCTTCTATTTGTGTCGCTGGGTGGCAGCGGCCTCCCTTCCAACTTCACTCCCAAGAACAATTCAGCTTGCTTCCACCACCAACCACCCCACCACCCCCTCCAGGAGCTCTGACCTGATTAAGGAAGTTGGAATCTTGGAAGCCTCTATTCAAATATAGAGCACTTTAGAATATGCAGCCATTTTTATTTTTTAAATTTTGCACAGCTGCAAAGGCACGGACACAATGAACCATGTGATACAAAGAAAACACTCCAATCCTCACAAGATCTGGCCAAGCAAAATTGAAATCCTTCCCAAATGCAAAAGTAGCCAGCTCTATTTTTTAAAATTTAACACAGGTACTACACGTTCACTTTGGGGGGAAAAAACACTCAAGAGTAGTGTATAGCCTAAAATAATCACAGATGAGAACCTGTCTCTTATAGGGAATGTACTCTTCCCTTCTTGAAGCAACGCAGGCAGTACCAAAATGTTGTAACTGAACAACTTGAGAAAGGAAAAGAAATTGGAAAGCCAGGAGTTGCACAATATAGCTCTGTGCATTTCTCCAGCTAAGAAATCCCACTCCTTCTTCCCATCTCTGAAAAGAGGTATTTTATTCCAGTGGCTGTTCACAAGTTGTTATTCCAGACACTTTTCCCTTACTTAACCAAGTATGAGTGCTATCTAGAGAATGGTTTGACCTGACACTGCTTTCAGGGATATGTAATGCTGACACAAGCCAAAACATCTAATATAACATTCTCCTGGATGAAAACATTTAGTACCGAGCGCCAAATGGGATATCCTTGAGGAAAATGAATGAGCTGGGATATAAGAAAATGCCCAGATTTTCACATCTATCCCTTTTTCTTCACTTGCTCTCTTCTTTCACTGGATGGAAATCACATGGACATGTCTTCCTGAGGGGCAGCCCGTTTAAAAAAACTCCTTCCAAAAGTACACACTCAAACCAGGTTACAAGCCTTGCATCCCCAATTTTAATTTCCTGACTAGCAAAATCTTTGTGAATTGTTCTGAGAAAAATGTTTTAATGAGAAGCATATAAAACATGGGTGTTATGGGGGAAAAGGAATGTTGAAAAAAGACATGTAGCCTGGGGGGGTGGGGGCAGACAACAGATTCTCATAGAAACATTTACCTCCAAAATCTCACCCTTTCTCAACAACGCTGCCCAAGCAGAGTGGGCTCACTCTCTCCTTTCTGCTCTCTTAGCAGCTGAAGGTTCAGCACAAACGTTAGGGGCAAAAGGTAAGCAGAAACTAGTACATGTGGGCTACTTCTTTAGGAAAAAACAAAACGAAACTGATTGCTTACTTCTGCACATCCCCTAGGATGCCCCCAAGGTGCCTAAGCTGCACAGGTCAGCTGCTCCACAGCAACCATGCTATCTGAAAGGAGGTCTGAGAATAGCCTTTGGCAGCCCCCAGGTGAGCACAGGTCAGCGGTAGGACGGGAGGCTGTTTCGTAATAGCTGTCCTGTTATTTGGGTCTTTGAACAGGAACATGAAAAAAAAAGTTGTGCTTTGCAGAGAAAGTAGGTAACCGCTAATGTCACGTAGGTGGAAGAAGCAGCTTCCTGTGAAAGTGTCAATAATAGCTCCGTGGATCATTTTGGCGAGGATCTCTCCCTTTCCTCTCCCCCATGAAAGCATATTAATTGTGTGCATAGAAATATTTCTCCCTATCGGCATGAGCAGCAGGAGCTTCTTAGCTTCCACGGAAAGAAGAGTTACTATTCTGGAAAGTCCTGCTGCTTCAATTGCTTCTTAATCCCCTGCATTAGTTTCAGTTTCCCCTCCCCCTCCCCCCTAAAAAACTCAAGTCTAGAATCTCTGGGACCAGTTTCAAAGCGCACAAGTAGGAAAGCAATAAAAACAGTCCAGGGGATTCAAAAAATAATACATGGTAGGCAAAAATCCCAGATTTTTTTTAGGTAAAATGCAAATTGGGAGCAAAAGAAAAAACATTTAGCATCACATTTGAAGTAGGAACATACAGGTAGTTCTTGCTGAAAGACTACTTGTCCAGCAACTGTTCAAAATTATGATGGTGCAAAACAAGGGGGAATTGTGATGAATCTATGAGTGTGGCATTCCCATAGTCACATCATCACAGTTTGGACCTTTGGGCAACTGGCTCACAATTATGATGTCAGAGTGTCCTGCAGTCACGTGATTATTTGCGACCTTCATTTCCAACAAGAAAAGTCAATGGGGAAGCTGGCAGGAAGTTGCAAATGGTGATCACGTGAATGCAGGATGCTGCGAGCACACTGGATTCACCTAATAACAGCAACTGGGACTGTGGCTTACATTGGCACAGTCATGTGACACTGTGTTTCACAACCACATTGCTTAATGACAGAGTTGCCAGTCCCAATTTGTTAAGCAAGGACTACCTATATTTGAGTTCAGACAAGAAAAACAATGGCACAAAAAGCAGTTGTGCAACTTCTTAACTTCTCCTGTTCTATTGGAAGCAGCATGCTTTGTATTTATAAGCTCCAGACTGAAGAGCACACAAGGCCCATTGTGCCACCCATACATCAACTGCCAGGAAACAGGCACACCTGCCCTGTTGGATGCCTAGCTATTATTATGGGAGGTTGAAAAGAGGGTGAAGGAAAGGTAAACATATGTACTGGTGTCTTCAGGCAGAATATAGAGTGCTTCTTGCTTGCATAATGTATGGTTTTTAAGGGAAGGTTCCTTCACAGAAAAATTGTTATATAGAAAGAATAATGGTGGTGGCTTGTCATGAATCTTGCGTGAATGGCAAGATGCACCTTGGTCCCTTCACTAAGACAAAGGAACTAAGAACATTGTTTCTTTATGTGCCATCAAGGTGGTGTTGACTCTTAGCAACCATCTAGATAAGATTTTCTCCATTATAATCTGTCCCTAGCTTGATCCTTCATGTTTTCCAATTCTGCTCCAAGTCCATCCAACTTGCTATTGGTCATCCTCTTCTTTTCTTTCCTTCCACTTTTCCCAACATAGAGTCTTCTCCAGAGGTTGATATTCAGTTGATATTCAAGATAACAGCATAGCTAAATTTAAGTAGAAGCCCATACTTCCCAGAAGATTTTGATGACATTTTGAAGTATCTGTGTGGGTGTTTTGTATATGAGTATGTGAATGTTATAAACCAACACATCCAAACCATTCAAATGGTTTTGATCTGGAATGTAAGAGTGTATAGTAACATTTCTTGAACAAGTTATAAAACAAGCCATATACGTAACTCCCCATGATCTCAGTGTCTAACGGTAAATACCACCATGATAATCTACTTAATAAAAATGTAAATAAAAAAAACCTGAAAGAGTTTATCTTCATTGGAGTATTTTAACAAAATAACAGCAAGGAAAAAAAATCCACCATATGAAAGAATAGCAATAGCACTTAGACTTATATACCCCTTCATAGTGCTTTACAGCCCTCCCTAAGCATATTGCTTCCAACAATTTTTGGTCCTCATTTTACCTACCTCGGAAGGATGGAAGGATGAGTCAGCCTTAAACCTGGTGGAATTTGAACTGCCAAATTGCAGGCAGCTAGCAGTCAGCAGAAGTAGCCTGCAGTACTGCACTTTAACCACTGCGCCACTGAGGCTCCGGAGAAAAGAATGTTGGTTTTCTATTTCTCCACATATATTAGTAAATGGCCTGACATACAACTCTACTTGAAGAGTGTTTGTGACTCACTGAGATTTTGCAGGCAATTTCTTTATTACCTGACTAACTTCAATCTAACCAGATGGATACTATGAATGATACATGGAGGAAATGCAGAGACAATAATCACATACACACAGTAATAAACCATTTTTTTTCAAACCAATGCTAATAAGCCTGCTGATACTAACAAAACAAATTATTTCACCATTAAGAAAAACAGAATAACATTTCCATTTCCATCTGGTACTCTCCCTATTTTTCCAACTTTTCTTTTCAACCATGAAAATAAAACACGTTTTATTTAGACTGAATTTGCATGGGTTGGCATGCAGTTAAGATATTCTTCACCAAGGATTTTGCCACTAGGCAGCAACCGTTGCATTTGAGCTGAATATCTATTACAAATTATACAGGGCCACCTCCCAAACCCTTGATCTTAATGGACTAGTTTTCTTTGTTTACCCACATAGAAAGCACTATAGAAAGTACTACTAGTGGGCAATCTTCCTACACTAGTGGCAGTCCACTATAGTAACTGTGAGCTCGAGATAACACAGCCATGGACAATTTGAAATAAGGTTTCATAATTAATTATAAAGAATCTTTGCCATAGGAAAATGCTTTTATTTTGAATTCTATAAAAAACATACTACATGACTTTAAAAACTGGACATTATAGGGAATTAAAAGGAACTACAGTTTACAATTAAAGAAGATAAACACTTGACTTACTAATACAGAACAAAGCAAAATATTTTAACACTGGACATACTAAAGGATATTTTTGAACAATGGACCCAAAAGTTAAGTATCTGCAATCTATAAATAGATTGTGTTTAAAAAGTATTATGGCAGAGAAACAAGTATTACCTTACACGATCAAGGCTGATTTGAAAGTGGATTTAAAAAGGATAGGCTACAAGAATTGTTGGAAACCAGCCCTTGTCTTAATAATTAAAATGGATATTACAAATAACAAACCAAGGAGTGACATGGATGCTTTTGAATCTTGAATTTACAAAGCAGGCCTGTTAAAGCTTTGAAGAATTTTGTGAGAAGGGACAAAGAAAAAAATCAAAACAAATCAAGCTCCAGGATATTATTTTAAGGGACTAAAGATCAAGGTTGTTAGCAGTAAAAGGAAGGAATATAGAACTGGTTTTTTTTGATAAAGTTTAAAATAGATACCTTGTTATCTCTGATTACCTTTAATGGACTTATGCTTACATTAGAACTGAAACAACAAAGCTTTATGGATTTGTTTGGGTTTGTATGGGATATGGGAAGAAAAGATCATTTGTTGCATTTTAAGAGGTGATAATTTACTAAAATTGTTTATACTTGTGATGAAGAGGGAAGTCACTTCTTTGCTTATTTCTTTTCTTTTTCTTTATTGTATTCTTATTTTTTTATTTTACATACCTTCTCTTTTTCTTTTTAGTTTGTGTTAATTTATATTGTAAATTGTAATTGTAATCTTTAATAAAAATTATTGTGTGTGGTTTTTTTTAAAAAGAAAACTATATCCCTGGAGTGGTTTAAGTTCAGTTACTAAGTGCCCCTGCTTACCTTGGAGTGGTACGTAAGAGCATTTTTGGCCACTGCACACTGCTTCTCCACCAGGAAACAAAATCGCCGCCTCTCTTCTGTGAGTGCCATCTTGTAACCATCAGATACATAGTTCTCCAGCTCACTTTGTTTATTGGCCATTGCTTCAATAAACTGGAAGAAAAGAGAGAATATTAAAATAGCAGAGGTGAGTAGAAACTAGCATGTTAATCACAATATGAGCCCACAAGCCTGCAGGTATTCGGAATACAGCAGATTCCTTTGCAAATCTAACATCTATTCCAGTTGCTTCAGAGAAAGGAAGCAGAGAGAAAGAAGTAGGCAGTTTGCCTCTTCATTATTAGCCATAAGAATTTCTGAAATACCTGATCTGGTGTTCAGTTGCAGCCTGGACAGCAGGGGGCACTGGGCCACAGAGCATAAGCCTGCTGAGAGAATCTCTCTCCTCCCCCCCTCCCCCCCCCAGTAACATCCATCCTTAGTCATCTGACTTCCCTCACACAAAAGCTCCTGACTCAGTACGTGGGCTTCAGATGTTGTGTGGGTGGCAGAAGAGCAGAGAGATTCTTAGTCTCCCTCCTACTCCCTCTGCACCTGGATACTGCTAATTCTCTACAGCCTATCGCGATGAATCGACTTTGGTGGCTCATATAAGTTTAACGGGCTTTCAGAAGGCTTTTTTTTAAATACTTTCTCCGTTGAGCTTTCCTTTCTAGGCTACTGAGAATCAGCTTCCCCTGCTCTTTCTGAAAATCATAGAGGACAGAGGTCCTCCTCAAAGGCCTGCAGGTGATGCCGAGAGGCTTCACGCTGCCCACTTGAACCCACAACTCCTCGCCTGTGAGAAGATGCAACAGAAGACACCCTCTCCAAGGGCCCCATATCCCCCTTTAACCAAACAGCATCTCCTCATGTGAAGTCTTCAAACTTTGACATAAAGTCATCCGCTTAATTCTGCAGCCAATGGCCCGAGAAATCCATAATGCAGTAAATTTCCTTTCTCACATTCAGAGGTTTCTCTGCACTCAGCACTTCCATGCTCAGTTTCAGTAGCCTAAAAGCCTGGTATATACTAAAGCATTTTAGATGTAAACCTTCATAGCTTTAAAGGTCATTAACCGCAAAAGAGTTAATAGAGCCCCTTCTTTATTGCACACACCCCCAGCCCCTTGAGCAATCACTTCTGCTTGCTTTCCGGATACCCTCCCTCCCTCCCTCCTCACCCCAAAAGACTCTGCAGGCAGGCTGCTGATGCCATTTCAACAAAGGCTACTGTGAGAAAGGAAAATGCCTTTCCTAAGAGGAAGCCTGTTGCAGGATAAATACATATTAAGGAGCAGCACGCTTTCCTCCCATTAGTATTTATTCAGATGCCACATGTACACAGATTCAAAACATATTGTAGCCAATTAAAATAAATATATCGGCTAAGAATCCTGTAATTAGATGATGGTCCATTTCTAGCAAAGGACAAAAGCAAGAAAGGCGCAATCTATCTCCAGGCTATTTTCCTCTGATCATATGAAGCATAAACAAGCCACACTTTCCAAATCCTTTTCTTTCCTCCACCAATCCCTGCAGAAGGTGGGCACCATTCTGAAGTGACAAAGAATTGCTTTTCTTTCTGCCACCTCTTTTATGATATTAATCCAACATGGCTTCCTTTCCACAATAACTAAAGGTGTCCTTGTATGCTACAATATACAAGCTTTTCATCTTTATGGAAAAGAGAAAACACTTTCCTTCCCATGCAGCCATGATCAAGCCACTTAAAGCTTCTTTATGTGGAGTTTAATTACAGGTGGTCCTCAACTTATGGCCATTTAATAATAGTTCAAAGTTATGATGGCTTCAGAAAAGGTGATTTACAACTTGTACTTGCACCTATGACTGTCACATCACCCTTCCAGTCATGTGACTACAATTTGGGCACCTGACAATCAACTCACATTTATGACCAGTGGCAGCATGATCATGATTTGCTAACTTTTTTGGGCTGATGTCTGGAAAAAGCACCCATTGGGGAAGCTGGAGACCCTTAATAACCGCAATGATCTGCCTAATGACCACCATAAAAATGGTCATAAAATCAGGTTTGACTTATGACCACAACTATTTATGACAGAAATTCCAGTCCCAATTGCGGTCGTAAGTCAACAACTACCCTGTATGTATTGTATTGCAAATTCATTTATATACATGCTGAATGCCTTTGGAAAAATTCTTGTCATTCACTATATCATGCCTTGCAGCATTAAAAGAAAGAGAGAAACCATAAGCTTTTCCTTCTTAATTCATAGGTATAGAGCAGGCCTGTCAAACTGGCGGCCCGTGAGCTGGATGCATCATGCACAGTGCATGCCCACTTCGGCTCCACAAAGGCAAAAAACGTTGCGATATGTCGCGATATGTCATGTGGTGCGATCAAGGATATTTAGGATATGTTCCATTTTATTATAGAACGTTTACCTAACCAAGGGTGCTAATTCAGTAGTGAATCCTCTGCTGGATCCACAAAAGATCAGAGGTTCAAGCCTCAGCATTTCCAGATAGTGCTGAAAACACAGCCAGTTAATGGAAGCAATACCATGCTAGACAAACACATTGATTCATAGATATCTTATTTGTGAGGGACACAATAGTTGCATTTCAAAACACACTTCAAGCTAAAATCCTTGCACAAAGTTTGAATTAGCTTGTTTCAAACATCTGAAACAGCTGTTTCAAACAGGTTGTGCGATTTGAGGTTTCACATACCTCTATCACAGGCTTTGCTGGCACTGCCTGTTAGGTAAATTTGGCCCCTAAGAAATATTCTGAAATTCCATTTTTTTTTTCGCAGGGGAAAAAAAAGTGATATGTGTTTCATCAGCCCTGGATTTTATTTTAGGAAGGAATTAACAGCAGCATCCATTTTTCTCTGAACACCTGCCCATGAGCTGATGTGCCTCCTTTTCAGCCGAAGGGATCCACACCTGCCATTTGTCTCTTCCTGCAATGCCTTACGGGTACAGATTCTTTGGAACATAACTTTTAATGCCTCTGAAATCGCATTAGCAACTTTAATATCTGAAGGGAAATGGCAGAACATGCAAATAAAGATTCCATTTTAGAAGATTTATTGGGTGATATGAATATTCTATTTTGTCAGCGGAGAAGAGAAATGAGAATCAAATGGAGGTATAAAGTATAAAGCTTGAGACGTTCTCCCCTAAATTCCCAACATGCTCAGCAGCAGCACACAAACATATGCTATGTTACTTGTTTAAAATAGAGCAATAATTACAATACCAGCCTAAACCTGACAGGTCTGTGAACTGCAGACAATAATGCTTGTTTGCTTTCTTTGCCACTCGTCTAAACTCTGGCAACCAGCTAATGCATTAAGGCAAGATTTCTTTAAATCAAAACAATACGTTTTGTTCCTTTCTTCAGCAGTATCTTTGTCCCAGAAGGAAGTCACTCAAGGTGTCATCACCCAATAATCTCAGACTTTCTCCCTTTATTTGAAAAGGTCTTAGGCTCACTGCCGCCAGGCACATGGAAGACATGGAAAACATAACTGAAAAGCAGCTACTAAGCCTGCATTCAAGCTGCCTAAACAGTAGCTCTCTTAAGCCATCTCTTTTTCCCCCCAAATGAAATAAGAGGTCCTATTATGACTACTTTCTCACAAGGTGCAGAAATAATTAAGAGTTTTGCTTTACAACCTTGGTTTTTTTGGGGGTTTTTTTGGTGGTGAAAACTCCCAGCCTGTATGATGGGGAATCATGTTGGCTAAGAATTCTGGATATTACAGCCCAATGGTTCTGGGTTACATTATATTGGAAAAGGTTTGACCATTTCTTCTGCTGTTTGGTATTCTCTTCTGTTACAATGGCTGATATTATAACTTGGGCTGGTTAAACAGTATCACCATATCAAAATAAATGCAAGCAGTTTGAACCCCCAAACGTTAAAAATATTTCCTTCTCTCGGTAAAGATCTTAAGGAGAATTTTTTATTTTGAATTCTGTATTAGCAAGGAACTCCTGCTGCAAAAGCTACTGGGGATATGAAGTTAGTTTCACTAGCAACTATGTCAAACCACAACATCAAAAACATTTCCAACATGAGCTACTAGGGAAGGAGAAATGTGTGTGCGCGGAGAGATTCTCACATAATGCAGAATGCATTGGCTACAGAATGGAAGTGGTTTACCATTGCCTTCTTCCAATTTTGTTTTTTGTTTTAACTTCCAAGTAGGGATGTGCAAAGTGTTCCATAGATGGAACAGCTGGTTTTGGGTGGCCTGCGTCTGGATTGAAACAGGCATGTTTTGAACGTTATGGTCCATATACAGAATGAAATGTGATGTTCTTGGCAGAGATGTTAGGATATGAGTGAGGAACAGTCACTGCTAAGGGTTTGCATGGCACGGTATGTGCCTGTGACACATAAAGACAAAAGATGAAAACTTTCAAAATTGAATGCTCTCAATTTATACTGAGGAAAAAAACATGCCATTTCCAAACTCAGGCAACTGTTTGAAATCAGAGCAATTCATGCTGTTTTCTCAACCAGGAAATTGGTCAAAGGAACACTATCCTTTATCCTGGACCTATGTACTTGCGATACCTTCACCTTTTTCCTCTACCTGAATGAAACAACCTTTTCAGCCATTGCTAATCAAAGCAATTGGGATAGTATAGCATTCAGGTAGATTTGAGGATGGAACTAAAGAGATCCTACTGATTACTTTATACCTTTGCAGTGATCAGCAAACATCAACAGCAAGTTCATGCAATGTCAATTAATCAGTTCGCCATTAGGATAAAATCACTTAGACGTTTAGCTCCTGATCCCTACACCAGTATATAAGAAATCCACTAGATAAGGGCCACTTACATTAGCAATGCAAATACTTTAGGCCCTAGGATGCCTAAACAGGAACCAGTGTTCCTGTTCTATCTATACCAAATAATAGCTCACAATCTATTTACATTTTCATCTGAGATGTTATGAAAAAAATATTTTCCCCATTTTTAAAAAATATTAGGCCTTCATTTAGGGGATTATACATCCCAGCCACAATCAACATTTCAAATTGTTGGTTAAAAATCTGATATACAGCTATCTATTGGGTAATATATGCCTATTTTCCTTACATAATC